GTTATTTTCAACGAAAGGACCTTGCTCACTATCGTTAAGTTTTATTTCATCTGAAGATTTTATAATTTTTGGACGCTGTATAGGCTTATGAAGAGCTCCTGATATTGATGGGGGATATAATGCAACGACCTCTGCGGGATCTGCATTTAAATCTTGAAAAATTGTAATTGCTCTATCAAATTCATTCTGACGGAAAAGATAATGCGCGCGAAGTCCAAGTATTTCTCGAAGTTTTGCATCCTATAAACGATAAATATCATGAGTCTGAGTTAGCATACATTATTGTTATATACATTATTTATTACCTTGTCATCAATCAAAGTTTGTCTAGTTAAACTTAAAGCTTCCTCGAATTCATTTTGTTCAACCAATTGATCAATCTATGAAAGAGTAAAAATATAAAATAAACATAATTAATATCAATTTATGAATATAATCCAATTCGACTCTATCCTTGGTACCTGTCTTTCGAAGCTTAACGGAATGAATCTCCAAGCATTACCATGACTGGCAACATATAAATATTTGCCTTGGTTAATGAGTCGTGCTTGAGGGAGTTCGTCAGTTTGGACCAAAGTCTGAGTTACAATATTCCTGACTTCCACGTTCTTCGGTAATATCGCAATAAGATACGGATGAGAATATCCTTGAATTATAAGGAGAATGAGTGCATAGGTTACCCAAATGACGGGTATAATTTAATTCGCACCTATTTCTTCTGGCGTTCCTGACCAGTCAATTTCTGCCTTTCGAGTAGGTTTTCCATCAAGCCCAACAATAATACTCTCATCTATTTTAAAAATATTCATAGTCAAATTAGATTTGAAAATTTTTTTACAGTTTATAAACATGCCCTTTCATCAAGAAACTTTGGTGTTCACAAAAGTACAAATATGAGTTAAAAAGTGAACACTTAAAAGTAATTCGATTAAAGGTTTTTCGAATTCATTGTATTAAAAACAATGATACCTACTATCCTTAACCAACAGAATTTCATTATTAGGTAACCTCGTCAATAACGGTTTGTTGACCTTAGAACCAATTGACATTCCCATATAACTAAATGAGGTGGCTCCTGGTGCACTACTCGAGGTTATTATTTCGGTTTTCTCACCAGAATCGACATTTATCAAATTATATTCGTTCGTCAACCCAAGACAAACTTTATCGTCACTAACCCAAACCATTGTTTTAATCCTATCATGAATTGAATGTTCCTGAAGAAGGATGACAATTAACCGAGAGAATGAAGATATCAATCATCAATGAGGAAAAGAAAAGGGTAAAAAACGTCTTCACGTACCTTTGTATCAGTGAATTCTGTATCCCGCCAGGTAAAGACAAATAACTTTTTTTTTACACCGACTGCTAGACGTGTTATTGGAATCCCATTGCTACTTTCATCCTCGCTAGTTTCAACATGGGAAATAGCAAATATATTTGCGCCTCTTATATTGGATAATTGCCTTTTTAATTCAAAGGTGTTTAAATCATAGATATTTATATATCCATCTTGGAATGATTAAAACATAAACGGGGTATCATAATGAGATAAAGTCATAATTTCGATCTAATTTGGTACGATGAATGAATAAGTTATTGAACACTATTGGTGATAAATACCAGAAAGTGATATTAATATGTCAAGCTCCTTAATGATATCCAACTGTTCGATGGGTTTTTTGGAAAAATTCTTAAAGGTTTCCTTTAAGTCTACTTTCAACCCCTCATCCCCTATTTTCATGGAGAAAAATTTATCAAATGATTAAATATTCTCGAGCTTTTATAGTTCTCATGGTTAACCAAATGATAATAACATACCAAAAGGTTCTTTTACTTCGTAAACGTACAAGGCACCCGTGGAAGTTCCTATAAATAAATTCTGACCTGGTTTTTTTTTTTGCAATTAGTATTTTGTTTTTAAAAAAAGCTTTCAACGATATAAAGAATCATTAAACGAACCATGAGCGAAAATCGATTCTATTTTATATGGTACTTTATCTAACGCTAATGAAACATTGAAAGCATCGTACATTTTTGACAGCGTATGATCTTAAACTAGTTTAGACAAGTTAGAACCAAATAAAGAAAAAAAAAAGTATTTCGAATAATTAACGGTTTTTTTTTTTAACGGGTTTCTAACCATGCAAAATGTCAATCTATTTTAATAGATAAAATGATCCAAAGTAATCTGATCTGATTATACTTAATGATTAGGTTCTGGAGATCCGCTTTGTCTTAGATCAGTTAAATTAATTTAAAGTACAAATAATACGCCACACGTCATGCAAAAGGAGCATTGCATTATTTATCATATTTTCAAACTTAATTAGTATTAAACCAAGGTGAACTATATTAGCAATCTACATCTGATTAAATTTATTTTACTTTACTGATATGATAACAAATGATAATGATCATGAAAATAATTTATATTTTCAAGTTAAAATATCAATGATTATTTAAATTTCTATTGAGAATTCCTAAAATTTATTATTATTAAAAGACATTAAGGTAAATATTAATAAAATAAAAACTAATATACCAATAATTATTTTGTAATACAAAGTTACACATTATATAACAGAGTAATAAATATTTGCCATTTCCCTTACTGCCTGGTTCAGTCTGAATTATTACTACTAGAAGAGCTGTTCTTTTCATTATCGGCCTCTTCACCCTCATCATCATCACCCTCATCACCTTGTCCAATCTCAAACTTCTTTTTACTAGATTTACCATGCGAAAAAGCAAATGGTGTTGCCAAATCGCCTTCTTCAAGTCTGTAATATAGATTATAATAATTAACAAATTATATTAAACATCATGATTAGATGAAATTACTTACTTCCGAAATTCATAATGTCCTTCTCCATCAAAGCGAAGAAGCCACTCATGATACTTAACTAACGAATATATATATAAAACAAATGGAATAGATTAGCGTTGTTTCTCAACAACAAAAAAAAAATTTCATACGAAAACTTTGTTCATATTTACACTATAATCATCATCAAGACATAATATAAAAATATTAAAAAAAAAAGTTAATTGGTGATTAGTCTTGTAACAAATTTAACAAGAATAATCGAAAAATTTTAATTACCAATGAATGCCTATGAGATACAGTAAATAATGTAATTCCTAAAGTTTGAGCATGAGTATACATAATACCCTCAACATCGACACTAACTGCACTAGTACATTCGTCCAAAATAGCCTGTTCGAATTTATAACGTAAAATTAATGTTTCGATCAAAAAGAGGTAACAAACGACAAAGCAAAGTTTCTTACAAATTGAGGACGGTGATAAAAGAGTCTAGCCATAGCTACTCTCTGTAATCGAATATAAAAAATTAAATAAAATTTTAAAATGTTCAAATTTTTAAAATATTTAGTACCTGTTTTTCGCCACCCGACAAAACATCAGCCCAATCTTGCACTGCATCCCACCCTCCATCTCGATCAATTAAATATCCCAAGTGTACGACTTTAAGCAATTCCAATAATTTATCATCGTTAAATCCCTTGGAACGTGCTTGATTTTTTGTGTCCGGATAAATAATCTATTTAACAATTATTAGGTTAGAAAGTATAATTTAACGATTGGCAATCATATTAAATCATTTCATACTTGATCACGGAATGTGCCAAGTGCCAAGTATGGTTTTTGAGGTACGTAAAACAATTTAGATGCTGGTGGTTTGGTAACAGTACCATCTATAAAATTATAATATTTATGATAGTTAATATATTTAAAATGTTTAAATATTTGACATAAATTTTAAGTATCTTACCAAAAAGTGGCCAGAGATCACCGAGGATACGGAAAAGAGAACTTTTCCCCTACATTGTACATAACAACATGTTAATAATACTCTCAATTACATATACCGACGTTAAATCTACATACACATCCATTAGGTCCGGAAATGAGACAGTTCATTCCTTTTTCAACTTTGAAAGATAACTCTTTCACCTAACATGTAATTAACAGATAAGTTAAGCAAATGATCAATTGCAATGGATATATAAAAACAAAAAATGAAACTTACCAAAACGTCTTTATTTGGTGTAACAATTGGAACTTTATCAAAAATAATAACACCATCTTCTGTTATAATTTTACCCTTGAGGTCGTTTGGTGTCACCGCTGTGATTGCAGAGAAACTAAGTCAGTAAATTATCGGATACATGAAGACAATCATTAAAAGTTTAAATGACCTATTACATTGGCTAATATTAGCTTCATTTGAATCCTTGCTTATCATCGTACGTTCGTACCGACCTTTATTGACGTCCTCGAGGACATCAAAAAGTTCTGCGACACGTGACTGTGAAGTAGTAATACAGGTTCATCAATGACATGATAATTAATAAACAATTCTTCAAAAAGAGAACGATCAACACGTATATATTAAAAGAGAACACACAGTGTATCCTGCAAATCTAGTCAAATCACGTCCAGCAAGAATTAATCTGCCAACAGCTTGTGATAAATTTACAAGGTAACCAGCTGTAATAATTTTTTTATATATATCAATATACATTATCGTTAAATTATTATGCTAATACGAGGAATGAAGGTCTCTTACAATTTCTTGAATAATCTTCCATAATCTTTGTTGGATCGGCGTCAAGTTTGCCCATGAATTCCGTAGCTTTTAAAGGTAAAAGGAACATTTAAATTAATCATAACGTTAAACCTAAAGAACATATTCCTTACCATATTTTGGATCAAATACGGGACGTGCCAACAGACTGTAAAGAAGTGATAATTTAACAATAGTGTATATATATATACGATTTGGAAATATGAAGTTCGCAACTTACTAATACGCAGTCATGGTTGCACAATATTTAACCAATACTGAATCGAAAATTCCATTAGCGAATCGGAGTCGATATATTTTTTTAACATGTCGTACTATCTTATCAAAGCTTCCATTTACAACAGTTTTCTCTCGTTCACCACCACCATAAAAGGCAATTTCTTCAGAATGAGTAATGATTCGTGACTAGAAAATTAAATAGGTAGTCAATATCATATGATATTATTAAAAATTTTCAAAAAGAATGATCTTTACGTGTGTGAACCTAAAATCACCCTCAAGCTTTTGCTCTATGGCAGTGACTGTTTTAGTAATAAAAGTTAGCCATAAAAATTTCTTTTTAAAAATAAAAATAAAAATATGTATTTTTCTCACATTTTCCAAAAGGCGGTGAAATCGCACGTAAAAGAGCACCGGATACCATGAAGTACGCGATCATGAAAATAGGAGCTAAATGATGATGGTACAAATAAAATGAATTACAATAATCAAATGAATGTAGCATATATGATTGAATGAATTACCTTCTCGGCCACTGTAAAAAATTAGATATTTCGAAATCATATTAATGGAATGTATATTCAAGAAAAAGGATTAAACATGATTGAAATTCATACATGGCTTCACCCAGCTTATACGCAAACAAGACCATATCTACTATGGGTTTGGCAATATCTGAATATAAATGACTCAGGTTTTCCGCGAATTTATCAATGTCCTAATTTAAAAAATTAATTATGTAAGACAATTATTCTTTTTTAATACATTAAAATTAGAAGAGACGAATTTATACCTGCGTTAGCAATTGATCTGCATTCTGAATCCGGTTATCGATATTCGATATTTTATAAAAGGTAATGTCTTTTAAATATTGTTCATTGGCATACTTTAACGACAAGAAAAAAGTTATTTAATAATATTCAATTATAAAGTCAATTAAAAGTTTAAAGAACAGATGAGTTTACCCTTGTAAGCCTGGTTCGGAACGCTAAAGCCAATGCGCTTATCGTAAGTTTCAATGAATTGTTAATTATGCTCATTGGCCACTATTATAATTAATATAAACCAATTATTTATCAACGCGTCAATAAATAAATAATTAACTAAATATCAAAATAAAATAGTCACCATCATAAATCCAAATTCGACAACAGCCCGAGCAATAAAAGTTTTCCGATCACGAGATACAATCGCCTTAACAACGTGTCTATGAAATTTTGTAATTTAGAATTTAGAATAAAATAATATTAATGTTACTATAAGATAACAACTAACTATCGAACAACGCACCCGTTAAATCCAGAAAACCTATTAAATGTAACATCAAATAAATAAATAGTATTTAATTATAATTAGAAATAAAATAGATAATACCATAATTCAAGTGAAAAGGGTTTCGGAAGAGAATATAAATGAATTCCTCTCTTATTGAACCAGGCAATTCTACACGCTCCTTTCTATTGATAAATGGTTACATTCATCAATAATCTTACCATATATCAAGCCACGTGCGAGCTATTAACACCATCGCCAAAGTTACAAGCAAAGTTGCTTCCTTACTAGCAATTCCTAATAATGATTGTTTTGATTAAAACAATTTACACGGTAAAAAAACGAAATCATTTTTTTTTTTTAAAAAAAAAAACAAAGGCTTACCAGGTATACAAATGGGCAATAGTTTTTTTATTTGCGTTAAAAAACGCGAATCTACACCAATTCTCTTCTGCCTTCGATTTTTGGTATCTTGAGAGTTTGCAGCATGTGAAACTTGTTTCTTTCTTTCTTGTTCGACATATTGCTTGATTAAATATACAGCAAAAACACCACCAACGAATAAAACTGAACGTTTCTTTGATGAATTTAGTGTTTTGGAGGAAATTTCGGTTGGCAAAGACATAACCTGTCCCATTATGGATTATCTATTAGCAGCAATTTGCAACGAAAAACTCGAGTTTTTTTTATCAAAAATTTTTTTAGATGTGAAACGCAGAATTACGTCAGCTGCATCCTAAAAAGGGTCTAAAGAGGTAAAGATTTCCTTATTAAATAATTTTTTGTGAAAAAATATTACTAATAACATAGATGACGCAGTCGTAAAAATTAATTTTTATTGTTAATATTATTATTTATATTAATAGTTAATCTATAATCATTAAATCATTGCATTCGAAAATAACTGGCATTCTCATCCATTTCAATAGCAAACCACCTTTGAAACAGTGTTCGCAAATCAATCATATCATTGCCTTCGTCAACGATGATGCCGCTATCTGCAAGTAATCCCGGCTCAAAATTCAAATCTAAATTTACAAATTTGAATACTACAGAAGAATGTTCACCATCCAGTATTACCATGTCAAACCTAAAAGAATACATATGAATGAATAAACATCAGTTTTTTAATAATTATTCTTCTAATATCATTAAGGGTATATTACCTAGTAATATATTGTCCTATGTTTACGGTCACTTCTAACATTGGAAATCCGGTCAGCAAATCTTTCTCGACTGAATAACTGATGTCGTCTATATAGTTTTTCCAAATTTCGATTTTTGTTGGATCATGACCATCTTTTTTTAAGCCAATTAATATTTTATTTTTTTCGAGAGTTACGTAACAATCAGGTTCTGAAAAAAATGCTAATCCAGGTCCAAATGTAATTGAAGTTATTGCGAGTTCCATGGGAAATATCGATGGATTTTGAGATGGTGTTAGGTTGGACTTAGAAATAAGATTATCAGGAACTGGCTCAGGTTCTATAAATATAAAATATAAAAGTATAAAAATTTTATTATATCTTTATATTTTTGATTTCACAAAATATAATATTTATATAAACAATATTTGCCTGAAGTTTGTGCTCGGTTTATGCCTAAATTGTAACGAATCAAGATAAGTTTCGGATATAATTTAAAGGGAATGGTAAATGATATTATAGAACGCACCTTTCTTTGATGAAGTTGAAGGTCTTCGACCACGCTTAGATGTTCCGGCGATAGAACCACCACGTGATACACGTGATTTCTCAGCACGACCTTGACCATCATCATCATCTGTAAGTGGCCGGCCAGGAATTTTTGCAGCAGAAGGATTAGGAGCATCTTCGCCAATAGATATTGATGGGTTTCTTGAATTGGAAGGTTGAGCGACTGGCGTAGAATCATTCTGCTCAGTGGGCTCATTATCATCATTTGGGCTTTCTTCAACCATAATTTTTCCTTGTTTCCATTTTACACCACATGCATTACACAGAGTTCCTGAACAAAGTTTTGTTCAAATTTAACATATCAAAGCATTAAAGGCAATAAGACCATTAGTAACTTTACCTGGTCCTTTGGGTCCTCTTCTCCACATTGGAGTGTATCTAACACCGCAGTACATACAATTCTTTTTTTCAGTGATATGCTCTACGTTACCAGCTGAATCGGTAACGAGTCTAGATTTTTTTGTCGTATATTTCCTCCGATTATCTAAATAAAATTGAAGTATGAATAATCAATTATATATTTAATGAATTCTTAAAGGATGCTTGTGAAAAGAAATAAATAAATTCATACTCTCATTTTTAGAAGAGTTCTTTGTTTTCCTAACTTTTTTTGTAGATGTCTAAAATGACATATATATATTTATTTATTCCTTAATTTTTTTCAATTATATAAATTTGACATTTTATTTTTTCTTAGCGTTATAATTACACAATTGTCACTTACAGGTACTGTCTTTTTTGTCGTTTTACGTTTTCCTCTTTTCCCTTTACCAAATTGTAAATCGAATTCCGTATCTGAATCATCGTTTTTAATATCAATATCAATTTCCTCTTCGTCCATTTCATTGGTAGAAACCGCTGTCACCCAAGTTCTTTGATATTTCTAAATAAAAGGTCGAATATTAAAATTTAAATATTATAAAAATTTAATACATTCTTATGACTCACCTTTACTTTTTCCTTATAAAAGTCTCTAGGAACGCGCATTTGTAAATAACGTTCTTTACATTTACGCTTAAGCTTAAAATGATAACCAATCGCGTCCTTTAGATTATTCTGTACAAGACGTAATGTAATTCAAAAAAAAATAATGTATTCGGACCTTTTCATCCATTAAACGTTCAACCGTATCTTCGTCGTTTACGGTTCTACATAACGCATTCCATATCTCTTCGGTTACTGATTTTATACTAATCTCCCATTCTTCAGTAGATTTCTTCGGGTCATCCTCATCGGGAGGTGAAACATAACTTGCAATTACCTATTATTATATTTTAAAAATATAATCGACAAAAAAAAAAAAAAGATTCTTTTACGATAAAAGTGTTTTCTTCTTTACCTCATAAACTTTAGGACAATGTAATAATCCCATATCATCTTCTGGATTACGTTCAATAATAGCATCTTTGGGAAATAAAAACCTAGTTTTCCGATCATCCTTAAACGTTAAAATTACTTCACATCTTACTGCATGCTCATATGCGGTAGACGCAGGAATTTCTACAGGTTGATTCCACATTTTAAATTTGTTAAGCGACGCATAATGAGCAGATTCTGTGGCCACCAACATTCTTTGTTGTGGTAACGAATTAACCGGTTGTTTTTGCTGTGGAGATGGTTCGATTACTACATGATTCTCTGTAGAGAGACCGAGTTGCTTCAATTTTTGTGATATTGACAACGTTTGGATTTGTTCGGGAGATGGAGTTGATTGAACATCCTGAGCCTGCTCAGTTGGTGAATCTGATTGTATCGTTTGACAATCCGATTGTGCTATCTGGATTTCTTCATTTGGAGGAGATGATGCTTGAACTGAGACCTCGGAAGGTAATGAAGTTGTTGGGATCGAAAGATCTTTTGGTGAGAGATCCTTCACCGAGAGATCTTTCTCCGGAGTTTGATCTTGTGAAAATAATTGACCTGATTGATATTGAGGTGATTGCACAGTCTTTGATAAAATTGAGGAAACATTAGGGCGTTGTTGAGGTAACGGAGCATTAAGAGTCGAATTCACTTGAGATGAAGTATTAGACTGTGATGCCAATAGGTAACTTAAATGATTGATTAACGCATTTTTTTGCTCTTGCGATAAGTTTGGCGCCGTTTCAGGTTGTGACAATTGTTTTTGTATGGCGAGTATCTGTGAAGGATTGTAGGTTTGAAGTAATGTCTGCATAACGTTGGTTAATTGAGGCGAGAATTTAACAGAATTATTTGAGGGTGAAGGAGCTGTATTAATTTTAGGTTGTTGAGAAGATAAACGAGGTATAGGCATTCGCTGTTGAACTTGAGGATTAGTTGATACTTGTGTTAATTGGGATACCTGCGATACCTGCGGTTGTGGTTGTGGACGGGGTTGTATCGCAGGTTGCTTGTAAATACGAGAAGATGAAGTTTGTAAACTTGCAGTTGTAATGGGAGAGGGAGTTAAAGGTCGAATTACGGGATATGAAGTCTGACCAAATGTTGGTTGTACTTGTGCTTGATGTACAGTTGTAAATGCTAGTTGTTGAGACTGTTGAAAAAGTTGTTGATTCTGCTGCAGAGTTTGTGGTAGAGCTTGTTGAGAAAATAAATGTGACGCATCATGTATTTGATTTTGATCATCTAGGAGAACTTGCTGACTCACAAATAAAAGTTCATGAACCTGAGTATCTAAATACAAGAATGGACCTATCGATAAAGTGCAAGTTCCAAGAAATCCTGTGTATGGAATCGGGAGTGAATTATCAGGTAAGTCAGGATGAAAAAAGATTTGATTTTGAATGGAATATTTTGTAAAGGAAGAATTTAAGTTATTTTCGCGAGATAATCGTAAGGCAGGAAATAATATTCCACTATTATTTTAAAACATTCAAATTTTATTAAATATTGAATAACCTTTTGGCAGGAAAAAAAAAAAAGGAAAAAAAGAAAAGAAATTTCAAGTAGATCTATTATTATTACCTCTCTCTAACACTGAGAAAACCATTTTGTTCATCTATTTCATCATCAGGTTTGTTTGTTGTCACCGGGAATTCGCCCATGTGTTTTTTTTTGACACTCATTTTAACTTAGATCGTTGCGCGAATTCAACCGATCTTTCGAATTTAAAAAGGGTAAGGTCGAAATCGTCGATCGTGAAAAAAAAAAAAAGTCTCCAGGAAATGATAAAAAGTGTGAAAATTTTAATACCAGACAGGTGACCAGTTTGACAAAAATATCTTTACCAAATATGTAAAAGTCGAAATTTCTCAAAAAAGCATATCAAATGAAGATCAATACCAAATACATAAGGAGTCAGTTTTTTTTTTTTTTTTTTTTTTTCTTTTTTTTGAATTTTTCTTTTTCGTACATTTCTAATAAATAATAATCATAATAATAATAATTCGATAAATAAATACGATAATAATAACGTACAAATCTTGAAATAATGCGTTCTGACGAGGTCAATCATAATGAAATCAGAAAATCCTAGATAAAGAAAACATAGTCAATGAGGCCTCAGAACATAAATCACCGTCACAAAGTGGATAGAGTTTCCTGTAAAGATTAGGAGCGAGAAAAGAATTCTTCTTTATGGTTCTTTAATTTAGAAGTTAAAACAAATGATTTTTGGTTAGATTGCAGCATCATCAAAGAGATGAAAGCGAATAAAGAGGTAAGTTTTGTAGTTTTTTTTTTTTTTTTTATTTTGTCGGTTGGATTGACTCAATTAACTCGTTCCTTTTTTTTGGAAAAGAATTCGTAATCACGTGAATAAGTTGTTGAAATTAGGAATTAAACACCCTACATTTAAATAAATTTGATTTTAGAAGAAAATGATCTAGCTTTTACATCATTCTTTAAATTAATGGATGCTAACTTTATTAGGTTAAATAAGTTTCGAAATTGGCGCAGTTGTTTCGAAAATGGCTTATAAAAATCTGCGGATAGATTCGTGAACTTTGATTGGCTGTTCCAATCGCAATAGCACGACGTGATGACGTATCAATGATTTTGGGCAGTGCACAAAGAGATTTGTGGAAACAATGATCTGATGGAACCATACGATCAACTAGAAGCAGTATACAAATCTGTGGTTTTTGTTTTTCTCTCAACTCTACAATGTCCTTGACACCCTTAAACAAAAATTAATTGACATTTTAACTTAAAAACTATTTCTTTCACTATTCGTTGGCTTTAAAGGCATTTTTTTTTTTTTCCCTTAAAATTTCCTACAGCACTTTACTGGTAAAAGTCTGGTAAGTCTTCTATTCTTTGGTATTATTATGCAAAGTACTTTCAAGTTTTTACTCTAAAATTTCAAGATGTTAGCACCTACTACTTTTTTCAAGCTGAATAAAACGAAGAAATGGAACAATGTTCAGGCCGTGAGTTATATTTATTTATTTTATTTTAGGTTTGCTTAAAAAAAAGAAACAAAGTGTAACAATTTGATGTCGGATGCTGAAATTTCTATATACATATATTATTTATCTATAGTCGTTTCTTCTCGTCGTAACTCGGTCGATTCTACTGCTTCGACCGAGACCATGTCGTCGCATACAACAACGATATCTACTACCCCACCTAGTGAGTTAGAAACACAAATTGCACTTCATTCAGCTGCCGCTGCTCTTGCTTCGGCTCAAACCTCAAGAACACAATCAGCTGATGGTAGTGCAGGTTCAAGTCACAGAGAATCAAAAAGGCATGGTTCTAAACCACCCCGTCAACTTCAATGTTACAATTGCGGTATAAAAAATACACCACTCTGGCGTCGAACACCAGACAGAATGCATTCACTATGTAACGCATGTGGGTTATATTTTAAACAATATCACGTTCATAGACCATTACATATTATACACAAAACTAGAACAACATCGGCAAAATCTTACCCTTATATCTTACCCGCATCGAGGGATGAGGATGATGATGATGATGATGATGATAGTGAGGATGACGATGTTGTCATGGATGATTATTCTGACCAGTCATCAACTACTGAGCAACTATTAGGACACGAATCAAATGGCGAAGAAATAGCACCAGATTTAGCATACACAGATTCACCGACACCTACTTATTCAGTATCATCAACGACGGTTTCTGAAAGTTCATGTATGCGCCCAACCGTAACGCAAACATCCACACCTGTTGCATCACCTACTCTACGACCCGCAAACATGTCACCTTCACCTTTACCAAATACATTATCCTTACCGCCTCCATCATTACATCCTACAGCCACACCACCATTACCCTCTACCACGACAACACCATCGACGATAACATCAACGATGGCTGATATACAAATCCAATGTGCGAATTGCGGTCAAACACAAACACCTTTATGGCGAAAGAATGATAAAGGGCAACCGTTGTGTAATGCTTGTGGATTGTATGCTAAATTGCATAATAGGGATAGTCCTATCGCTATGCGTAAGTCAAAAATTCAACGTCGTCGTCGCGATTGGAATAAGTATGGTCATATTGATGATGGTCATAATACTGAAGATTCTATCGATGGAACGAATTCGACGGCTGGAGGATCAAGTAAACCGTATCACGCTATTCTTCCTAATCAACGACCAATAATGCCCATGACTATGTCTCCAAGCCAAATGGCACCTGCCCTCCTAACTTTGGCTACGGCAGCTACTTGTCAGCGAGAGCAAATCCTTTTGGAAGAGCAACGTCGACAACAACAACAGCTGCTGCACTTAGATACCGTGGATGAACGTAGGGATCATAGAGATCATAGTCCTATTATTTCCTCTGTCATAGCACCACCTTTTGATCACGACGATTCAAAGTTCAAGTCTTATATAGATCAAATTCCTAGAAAACAGGTGGAGGAAATTTTGAAAGTATTTGAAAGACGATGTGAAATTTTGAAAAAGGTTTTGGGAGATCCATGATAGGAATCAATATCTTAATTTCTTATTCCTGTTCGACTATATTCCAGAATTTATGTTGCAACAGGTGCAAACAAATATTCATAATTAATTTTTTATTTTATTAAATTTGGAACAAATTTAAACATTTATACTGATTATTTTTAGCTATTCGATTCAACCCCTTTCTTCCTCAAATTAATCATTATTTAGGTTATGGACTATCTTGAAAAACTTTTTATTGATAGAAATTTTTTATATATTATTTTACTTCCTTTTTTTTATACTTTTTTTTTTGTCGTCAAATTATTTTTATTTTTTTTTTCATTATTTTTATTTCACGATTAAATAAATATCCGTTTTTATATGTATTGTAACATGTATTTTTCTCTTTCGAACTTCACTACCACATTTTTTATTTATCTCTTTTCCACTATTTAGACTATTTGTTAATTTGTGGTGATGGCAATTTGTGATCATTTTAAATATTTAGCCTGGTGTTTTGTTGCCAAGGGATGAGATCAAATTGCTAGTGACAAATAATTCAACTTTTCTTAATTTTTCGTTAAGAATTAAAAAATATCTAGTTAGAATTTTTTTTTTTTTTTTTTTTTAATTTATTTCTTTTTCCATCAACATCAACATTAATTATTATTTTATTCAAAAGAGAGGAGAAAGTATATATATATGTATGTATGAGAAGATGATAATTGTGGATGAAATTTTTAATAGTGTAGGATTAGATAGTGAATTTTTTTGATTGATGTATTTCTTTTTTGAAATTGATATTGTATCGTTAAATATATATATATATTAGTAAATATTTCAAAGAAATTAGTCTTTTTATTAAATTATTTATCACTTTTTTTTTTTTTTTTTTAGACAATAATACAATTTATTATAGTTTTATTTTATGACAAAATTAATATAATCTTTGATAAATTCCGGTAAAGTTAAAAAAATCATTAAACTATGTACAACTGAAATTTTTTGGATTTGAAAAAAAAAAAAATAAAATAAATAAATAAATAAATTTAAATATTTCATGTATCAACATATTTCTAATCTCGAGTCGAAGTTAATCGAAAAGAATAATTAAACAAAGTAAAACTTGGAAAATTCGTGAACTTGAAAAAAATATTTCTCTCCATCAAATCAAATCTTTTTTGAGTCACTAAACAAAAAAAAAAAAAACACGGAAAATTTTCTCTCAAGTTCAAATCATTTTGGACGTAGGGAAATTTTTTATTCATTCGATCATATCAAAAAAAAAATAAATAAAAAATAAAAAATAAAAAATATCAAAAAAAAAATGATTCTTTCTGCGGATCTTCCTCATCAAAATCTCAAAAACGCACGTAATTTTTATTGATAATTGATAAACGGGAAAAAATTTCAAAATAATCAATGATATACGATATCTAAATATAAAATGATTGTCATACGACTCCAATCATTTCCATCAATTACGGCAATAATAAATGAATGCTTCAATTGCATTTAATTTGTTTCATAAAAATCATAAAAAAATATGCAGTGGTTCATGTTCATTTGTTACAGATCGTTATCTGCATGATGATTGACTTTTAGTATCGTGTTAGTGAGTGATTCGGGTCATATATTGATCCTATTTTTAAAATTGGTACCAGCTCCCGATATTTCTTTCTAGATAATTCCGACAATATTACTTTATTTAAAAAACCTTTCGAAATCGAAGAAATTTTTATTGATAATCGGCCGTCTGAGGCGTTGACCCTTTATTGAATCAAGTTTTTTTATTTTTTTTTTTATTTTTAGAAAAAGAAAGATCATTATAGGCAATTAAATTCCTAGATTTACTAATTAATAAAATTTTTATCATCTGTTTAAAGTTTAGATAAGGATAATCAACAACGGGCACAATAATTCTTTGAATGATATTTGGTAAAGTTCAATTCAGGTGATCATTTTATTTTCTTTTACAAAGAATAAATAACTTAGTATTATTCGATTTATAAGTTTAAATTAGTTACAGTAGTTGATTATTTCAATAAGCAAGTATCTTCATTTTTTAATTATTTGAATTAAATTTAAGGCTAACGCTATTCACACAATGCCTTTCATCTTCTGGTGTGTAATTATACCCCTCCCCCTAAAAATAAATCGGATATATAGTCGATATATGTCCTTTATTAAACAAATTAGATAAAAAAAAACTCTCTTACCTTGAAAACGTGACCCAAGTGACCACCACATGCAGCACATGTGATTTCTATTCTCTTCCTTCCAAGCGAATTGTCTTCTTGACGTTTTACCGCACCTTGTTAAATTATTTTACCAATTATTTTTAAAGGATTTTTAGGATAAATTATATTATTATGATTATTATTATTTTTTGTTTAAATGAATCACCTGGAATAGCCTCAAAGAATGCTGGCCAACCACATCCTGAATCGAATTTGGTTTTGGAATAATAAAGTGGTGTTTCACATGCAGCGCAATTATAAACTCCTAATGTATCCAAAAAAGAAGCCTTTATCAAAAAAAGAAGTTCATTCATTCGAACAAATTTGGTTAAATTATCATTTATTACCTTCTCTATCGAATTTATTGTATTCACCAGTACCCGGTCTTTCAGTCCCTTTTTGTCGTATGATATGAAATTGTTCAGGTGATAAGATTGCGCGCCATTCATCATCTGAACGTTCCTTTGACATTTTAATCTTATTGGTATTATTATTATTATTTAAACTTCTTTTATTCAAAAATTGATGAGAAATTTGAATTTGTGATGAAAGGATAGATTTACAATGAACGTTTACGGGTTGAATTAAGATATTCCTTTGAAAAAAATTTCTCTGGAATGATTTATTAAATAACATTTGACAAATGAGAGGAAAAAAAAAAAAGAAAGAAAAAAAAAAAACTTTATTCGTTTATATACGTGGAAGATCTGATTTAGGGTAAGAATAACTTCCATCTATGGTTCGTCATTATACGTAAAAAAAAAATTTCCGATTTTAGGAATTCATTCTAATAATCATCAAGTACTTTTTATTATTCATGCAATTATCATTATAATTTACTGAATAGGGAATTGTTCGTCGTATGGTTTTTCTCAACTGTCAATACCACATAATGGTAATATTGAATTCAGAAAAGACAAGGAATATACAACGTCCTTAAAAACTTCACAACCCCAAGTCGATCTTCCCCCGTAAAGGAAAAGCTCAAGACCTAGAACCGATCAAAGTTCAAAAGCTTTATTAAATGGTTCGTTGACTGGAAATATACACCATCACTATTATATCATGTGCTTCCTTATGTCAATTGATAAATCACCTAAACCCTAACAACTAACATAATAAAACGTTAGGAAGGGAAAAGTAATATACCTTCAAACCAATGTAAAAAAAATAAAAATAATATTGTAATTGATTATAAATTCATACACAAATTATGGGATTCAAGAATCGATTGCACAATCTCGACCCCGAAATTACATAATTTTTGTCACGCCGGTCGAATTTACGACTTTTCACGTGTTATTGTTGATAAAAAATTCGAAAAAATAATTTATCAAAAATATTCCCATAATACTACTTTTATAGAACAAAATAATCTTATTTATATAAAACTAAAAATTAAAAAATTAATAAAAATTTTACTCTGATACCGGGCAGAGGTAATAGTATCCAGATATGGTGTTGGTAAAAACAAGGAAAAAACAGGACACAAGTACCTTGTGGCTGAAAGTGATCCCTCTATCCAAATTTGACGCTCTCGGGGATGTCTACCTAGGTGGCAATCTTCAGACCAGTATTATCGGGCGAGTTCTGGCTAATACTATATGTCTAGTCACGACTTTGTGGGTTTCTTAGGTGTAGAGGTTAACATAAGTTACTCCTTAATACGCCGTTAACAGATTC